CCACAAACAGTGACCACTTTTTAAACGTCTGTCTGCCACCCTACTCCCCTTTCCTGAACCCTATAGAGGAGTTCTTCTCATCATGGAGATGGAAGGTGTATGACAGACAGCCATACACAAGAGAGAACCTCGTACGGGCAATGGAGCTGGCCTGTGCTGACATCCCAGTGGAGGCCTTCCAGGGATGGATTCGCCATTCCAGGGCGTTTTTCCCGCGGTGCCTAGCAAGGGACAATATAGCCTGTGATGTGGATGAGGTGATGTGGCCCAATGCAGCTCGGCGACATGATGCCGCACAGTGACTGTGTGTAATACTGTAAAAAGACCGTGTAGACAATAAAAAAGACTTCACACCCTGATCATGTTTCCGAGAGTACTGTTGTGTGCGATAGATTCTGTTTTTGCATTGAGTTGTGTTACAGTAGTGTACGTACATGCAGGATGTTTTTATAGATTTATAGTCTTCATGTGAAACTCACAAATCTAAATGCCTAATCCTCTGCAGGGTTCTATGACGATCCGTTACTGTACAGTTTATAAAAATATGCATTGGCAGTTATGAACCAAAGAACCTTCTCACAAATTGAGCATTGTGTTTTCAATTGTTTTGCTGTAGTGTGTAATGCTGTGTATAGTGTTTACAGTTTTGACAGCTTCGAGCTGCTCTCTTGGTGTGGGAGTTTGAGTTTTGCAGTGGGAAGGTGTGGTTGTGTTTATGTAGCTTTAGAGAAGGGTGTTGTGTTTGGACATTGGGGGACCTGGTGGTAACGTTTGTGACATGTGTTTTAGCATTTGAGAAAAACTGTAACCTAGCACACTTTAGTGTACCCATGGTTGTGTGTGTGTGTAGCTGATGTTGCACGCTGTGTGTGACGCTTAAACGAAGGAGAAAAATCACACATCCATCATATGCAAGAAGGTGTGGTTCCATAAGAGCGCGATACATAGACCCGAGTGGTGCTTGGTGTTGTCTGATTGTATGTGTGCACATTAAATTATATGCGCCGTGAGGCTGTAGAGGATGTGCTGAAGCTGTGTGTGTGTGTGTGTGTGTGTGTGTGTGTGTGTGTGTGTGTGTGTGTGTGTGTGAGATCATGCGGTGCAGACGTGTAAAGTTCAAGGGTGCAGAAGCAGACACAAGAAAGAAAAGCTAATCCAGAAGATGTTGGGGGTGAGAGGGAGTTAAAAAGTAATGTAAGTATTTTTGACAATGCACAATTACAACTTGCTATCTGCAGCACTTTTACACGACCATAATACATCTGTGTGCGTGCTTAAGGCAGTGGTTCCCAACTGGTGTGCTTTGCGACAACTGTACAATATATTTTTGCACTGTACAACTACAGAAAAAAATATTAATGATTATATTATTTTTTTTAGGCAATTTAGGCTCATGCACACTTGGTAACTAGCAAGCTAAAAAAAAAAAAGGCTCGTGAAATCCAATAATTTCTTCTAAATGAAAACTCAAAGCTCACTTAAAGAGATGAGGAAAGTTTAATGATGGTGGAGTGCTAACACATTTTGGAAAAATGATTTCAAATATGATGAGTGGTCTGCAGATGGGCTGCCTATAGTGTTTTTCTGTGATAACACAATCTGAAGAAGCACTGATGACATATCAGACGCTATACAGATGATTTGGTGTAGAAACGAGTACAGATGTGCCCTGAAATCTTGGCTCCTGGTTTGGTGCATCTATCCATCGACCTGTTTATGTGAAAGAAGTTAAAATTGCGTTAATAAATAATATGTGCACTATAACTGTAAGAAAAACTGCTGCATGAAGGTATAATACAAAAATCTCTTTGGGATCGGATGCTTGACGAGTGTGTTCACCTCACAGAATGAAGATTTATTATACAGCTTTATAGAAAACTGTGATGGAGAGCAGTTTGTTCAGTGATGCCTGACTCCCATGGAGTCTCCAGTGATGCTTCCAGCCTCACTGATTAGTTTGTTGATCCTGCTGGTGTTTCTGGCACTATCGTTACCACAGACTAGTAGAAGATCTCCAACATCTCGCTGCACACCTTAAAGGATCTGAGCTTCCTTACAAGTGGAGTCTGCTCATACCCTTTTTGTACACAGCGTCACTGTTGCTCCTCCAGCGTGTCCGCTGCTTCGACCTGATGCTGATGGGCGTAGTCGCAGTGTTTTTCATCCAGAAGTCAACCAGCATCTTTTTTGTCTTGCTGACATTCAGAAGGAGGTGATTTCTTCTGGGCCGCTCCAAAATGTTCCTGCACTCTGACTCCTGCCCACCCTTATTACACCTAACCACTGCAGTATCATCATTCCTTATTAAAGGACGTGCTCTGTGTATTAATGGGTTAATCTGCCTTTAAGTTGTCTGTAAAGCGTGTTATAAAAATGCTGATTCATTTCTTGATCTTCGTGTTCCCAAAACTCGTTGAGCATTATTTATATATTTACCTCCACATCATTCTGGATTTGATAGCTTGTTATAAATCCTTTGCAGCACGGTGCTTTTGACTGTCTTAAAAGCACAGCTTTACTCACTGTAAAGGCTCAAATGACTAAGAGAGCTTTCAGTTTTTGCAGTAGGTAAATCTACCGAGGAATGATTATTAACGCCTGTGTGTGGTTTCTGGATCGCTCAGTGTCTCTCACCTTGTCCCCTTTCACTGATGTGTGACAGTTGGCTGTTTGGCATTCTGCCGCTTCTGTCCAGGTGTACTAAGACTCATCCCCCTTCATATAGCTTGGCGTGGATGACGTTGCAGGATGGGAGTTACGGTCAAAAACACCCACAAGTCTCCAAAGCCCCAACGAGCTGCTCAGTGCTCGTACAGTCTCATGCAGGGGGTGGGAGGTGTTGTCCATGATGGATGTTAGCTTAGACAACATCCTCTCCTCCCCAACCTGCTCGACTTTCCTTGGATTAGTGAACTTATTTCATTTCTAACAGAAAATCATGTGTTTTTGTTTTTTTAGCTAACATATAATCGGCGCAGGCAGACTCTTTGTACTTTACCTGCTGACCTGCTGCCAGGCCAAACACATCAAACCTGTGGCTCAGGCTTAGCTGCCCCACTCCCATCTCCTTATACCCCTGACACTGAACCGGCCCTGATATCTAAAGAAACAGGTGAGATATTTCACATCAAGAAGTTTTTTCACCTGCAGGAGGCCTCTTGGGAAATAATATTTGCATTCTACACACTCTTTAAATAGAACGTTTTTGGAGAAGTGTGTGTTACTCTGCGTTTATTTTCCACACTGTCTTATGACTGTTGCAGGTGCTGAGAGCTTTCAGGAAGCTGAAAACAATTAAAACCTATTTGAGTTCCACCAGTTCTCAGGACAGAGACGTATTTTAGTTCACTATATTTTGTTTGAAAATTCATAATCGAAGGATTATTTAAGTTTTATGTTAAAGCAGTAAAAATTTATTTTACCCAATTTTATAGATGAGTATTGAAATTCACTTCCATCCCAAAAAACTTACATATATTTTATATGTATTTGGTTTAAGCCACCAATCACTGAAAAAGTAAAATTTAAAATTTAATTTATCAATTATCATAAAAAAAATATGAAAATGTAAAATATGACTTGCATATATCTCATCAATCTTCCCTGAAATAAAAATGTGTTATATGTTGCCGTGGTTTCCTTTGTTAAAGTGGTGGGGCCCAAAGTGATATGTTTTTTCCATGGGGCCCCAGATCCCCAGTGGCACCCCTGGTGGCGTCACGCACTAAACCAGGGGTGGGCAACTCCAGGTTTTAGATGTGTCCTTGAACCAACACAGCTGATTTAAATGGTTAAATTAGCTCCTCAACAAAGTTCTCCAGAGGCCTGGTAACGAACTAATCATGTGATTCAGGTGTGTTGACCCAAGGTGAGATCTAAAACCTGCAGGACACCGGCCCTCGAGGCCTGGAGTTGCCCACCCCTGGGTTAGAGCCACCTACCTCACTAACAGATGAAAATCTGTGTAAACCACAAACCCTTGTAATCACACTCAGTGTCGTGGATTTCGATTTCTTCGTCTCGTTACGGATTCTTTAATTCCAATTTATACTTCATGGTTATTCCGCTGATGAGTTTCGGTTATGTGATGTTTTGATTCATGTCTTGGTTTTTATTATTAGTTATAGTAGTTTTAGTTCCCTCAGTAATTGCCACTATGTTCCTCCTTTGTCTCGTCTCGTCAGTGCCTTCTCCTCTCTCTCTGTTACCACGTCTGGTGTGGGTCTTTTTGTTACTTCCCCGTTTTATTTTGAAGGTTAGTCTTCTGTTTTGTCTTGCTCTATTTTGACTTTGTTTTTCCTTCCTTTGTGGTTGTGAGTGCTGTCCTAAATGTCAGTGTTGTCTCTCTTTCCTTTCAGCTGTGCATCTTTTTAATCAACCCTCTGTACATGAATAGCCCCGTGTTACTCTTTGTCGACTCATCTGTTTTGTCTTTCTTTTGTTTCTTTTGTTTTTATTTTCTATCCTCAACTGAACTTTGAGTAAACGAGTGATGAATTGTATCCTTTCCAAATTTGGCAAGAATCCTTCCCTTATCTATTTTTGCATTCTAACTGTGACACTTAATACTTTGTATTTGTAATTAAAGCAGTAAATCATTGCAGCTGCAGCAATTGTGGCTGTGTCGAAGGGATGTGGTTAGTTAATGGATTCTCGCCACCTTCTGCACAACTTACTAGACTTTTAGTCCAAAATCAGTTGCTGCTCTAGTGCTACAGGGACAGATACGGCACATCTCACACCTCAGTACCTTCAGTCAGATTGGATTTAAGCTTCTTGTTTTGGCATATTTAAATTTATTGATCTCATCACTTTTGTGTGTTTGTTTTAATTTGATTGGCTTATGTAACATATTCATTTCTCAACTCTTGTGATAAAGTATTTCTTGTTTTGACTTGTCTTTTTATCTGCCCTGCATAAGAAATAGTCAAACTAATCTCCAACTTAATATTTTTATTATTTTACAACTGTAGATACTAGAGTAACTTTACATGATTCAAAATTCAGAATAATCTTTATTTATTCTATGCATTATGTGTTTATCCTAGACCTTCATACGCTATCTGAATCATGCTTTGACATCATCTTTTTTCTGATTGGCTGCCCCTTGCAAACTGATATCGGAGAGCAGGTGAGTGCCAAGATTGAGACGTCTGAAGCCTGAGCTTTTAGCTCGCAGGGATTACCATGATTAATGTGAGCTTCCAGTGTTGGAACACTATATACAGGACAAAAAAGAACAACAGATCCTGTGCAGCTAGCATATGAAGTATGACAAAGTGCACATTTTTAATTGTAATTTCTCTGAATATGCCATTGCTATTTTTGATGTAATAAGTGCACCTGAAATCTTGTTTTAATATATTTAATCTTGTTTTGATAATCTGGGCTATTTACAAATGGCAGAGAAAAGTACAAATAAAAGGTACACAGCTGGCTTTAGTTTGATTTGATATACCCTGCTTTGAATAACAAGCACAAACAGACAGAAATAATATACATTGTAGCAAATGCAAAAATGATCATGAAAGTTGTTTAACAGATACAGACAGAAATAAACTCAGGTGATAAAAAGAAAAAGAATCTATGTAGATCAAACTTCTGTGTATATCAAACCTATTTTTAACTAAAAATGCACTTTTCTGTTTTTGTAACACTGTGTGGTAAGGTGTTTAATACTGTTGACATTTTTCTTTAAGATCACAAACATCTTGAAATATTCTACCTTAGAACAAATATACAAAAACAAGGAGAGCAGAAAAACATCTGGAAATCCATTTGTGTCATTCAGACTTTCTTTTTTTTCAAGCAGCGACATAAAATTAAGATTGAGCCAAATTTAGTTCAGCTTATTTGTGCAGTCCTCCACAAAAGTCCCAGTTAAGCTATCTACATATAAAAACATATGCTTTGATATTGTCCATAGCTCTTTGTAAGCAGGTGTGTAACACTAGGCTGAAGGTGCTGACTCCTCCACACGGACGCTGTTTTAAGGAGAAAATGTGGTGGTGGTCTCAGTTTCAGTGGGCACTGAGCTCCGCCTCCTCCCACAGGTATACCTAAAGAACCTCTCCTGGCTCATGCAGCCAAACTCTTTCAGTAGTTTCAGGAGGTCATAACGAAACTTTGTACCGATAAAGGCGTAAACAAAGGGGTTCAGGCAGCACCTCAGGAAGGCCAAACTCTGGGTCGTGTCAGTGGCATAGAGGAGGTTGATTTCGTATTTGCAGTCCATCGGTACTCCGCGTGCTGTAAGAACTGTGTTCCAAAACAGGACCACGTTATAAGGCGTCTGGAAGACCAAGAAGACAGCGACCACAGCGAGAATCACCTTGATGGCCTTATTCCGTTCAAAGCTACGAGCATAGTAAAGGGTCCTGAGGATGCTGCTGTAGCAGAAGGTCATAAACAAGAAAGGAAGGACAAAACCCAAAGCAATCTGAGTTGCCTGGACGGTGATGCGAAGTGGGTCATAGTTGCTGGAGAAAGGGGTGCAGGTGTTGTTATTGATGGTGGTGTACACCATTTCTGGCACAGAGAAGATCAGGGCCAACACCCAGACCAAAGCTGATGACAACTTGCTGATAATCACTGCCTGGGAGCGGTGGCGGTGAGCAGAGATTGCTTTGGAGATGGCAAAGTAGCGGTCGACACTGATGAGGGACAGAAGCAACATGCTGCTGTAGAAGCTGACCTTATAAATGGTGTACATGGCTTTGCACAGCCCTAGACCCAGCACCCATTCTACCATGGAGTTGGCTGCCCAAAAGGGGAGGGACAGGGCTAAGAGCAGGTCTGCAAAGGACAAGTTGAGCAGGTACACATCGGTCATGGTCTTGAGTCGCTTGAAGTAGATATAAGTGAGGATGATGAGCATGTTTCCTGCCAGCCCCAGGAAGCAGATGATGGAGAAAAAGATGGGCATAAACACGAAGCGGAACTGCCGATTGGAGTGCTTCTTACAGAGTTCAGGAATCTCACTATAATCCCAGCTGGAAAAGCTGTAATCTGTGAATGTAGTGGTTGTGTAATTTCCATCGTCGGACAAGCAAGGCTGCAAAAACAGAGCAAAAAACACATGAAAAAAGTAAAATAACAGAGCAGATCAGACAAAACTACACCTGCCACCTGCCTTTGGTACATTGTACTTTTACACCACCACTTCCTGGGGGGAGGGGGAGCACTTGGTACCACAGGGGAAGACTGCGGTTCGGTAAATACTATTTATCCCAAACATATTTACAGCTGGAAGAAGAGCTTCAGTGAGGTGTTTCTCTTACCTTAGAGGTCATTAACCATACCAGCACAGTCGGCAGAAAGTTCTGGAGAGCTGAAAAACAAATGTAGATTATTTATTTATTTATTTATTTTAGAAATAGGATCTGTGGAGACAAGCTTAGTGTTCATATAAACGATGACTTTTCAAGATGCTCAAACGTTAGTTTTGGACTTCCTCAGCTTCTGTGCGAGGGAGGTTTAGTAGAAAACCCATATACATGTATTTCTATGCAGATAATACCCAACTTCCAAATCAATTGGTCCTCAAGCCATAGAGGGCTGAATGACCTTTAAATTTCTACTTCAAAATTCAAAGAAGGGTGTTATTAGTTTTTAATATTGTATTGGGCCTGGACACCTCAAAAATGGTCTACTTATTCTGGATTGTATTATTTTTGTCCGTCTGTAAGGAAATATGTTCGTTAACAATTTCACTATGTGCATGTGTGTGTGTATTTCTGCACATGACTAACAGTTTGCATTGGAGTTACACAAATCCAGCAGATGCGTGCGTGGTACAGATCACATCTTTTGAACTAATCAAGCTATCAAACCCAAAATAAGTTAGTTAATTGGTGGTATTAGGGTGATTTCCTTTATAACACGCATGAAATTCGTGTTTATTTGTCAGCTTTTAACCCAGAGTGAAATTTGATATTTGGCTTTATTGTCAAGTATTATTAGTATAGTACTGGTTAACATTTGAAAGCTCGGGAAGAAACACAAATCCTTTGTCACATTTTTGTCACAGCAGATCCATCCGCTGTGGTGACCAACTGTAAATAAGAGAACAGCTGGTTCTTTGTTTTTCTTCTTCTATTATTGTTACATTGTCTACATGTGTGGGATTTTATGCTTGTAAAAGACTTGACAATAACTGTTTTCACTGTTTGACTGCAACGACTCTTTATTACTGCCAAACAATCATAGACTGTTTGAGAAGTTTTTCCCCTTCTGGCCTACATCTTTTATCTTTTCTAATCTGTTTTCGGGGCTTTTGATCATGTGGCCATCGGGGAAAACTCCGTTCCTTCTTTTTTTTTTCTTATGAAAGTTATTTGTGGTACTCACAAATCTGATTAGTGAAACTGTTAAGATAAATGAGACTTTTAATAGATTGTGACATTACTGATATGTTGATAATATTTAAAACTAAAGACAAGTGTTACCAACCGCAATAAAATCTGCTTCTATTTCCTAATTGTTGATGTAAGTTCTTTTAAATGCTACTAGTGTATTTTTAGTAATTTGGGCTTCTTCAAAAATGATACTTTGAGCTGCTCCTTTATTTCCCAAGGGGCTGTCGCAGCGGATGAATCTACACTCGACTTTGCCCAGATTATTACACCAAATGCAACCTTGTGATTTATCTAACCTTGCGACAGACATATACTAGAACAAACCATGCAAGGCAATTATTATTATTTTATTTTACCACCAGTAAGCAGGTAGTTGTAAAGTTGCTGAATCAAAGTCTCTAGTATTTAAAAAAGCAGCTTTAACACACTAAAAAAATGCAAGTCCATGTTAAGTGTTCAATAGTAGATGAAACTGCCACAGCAGCTATCATTAGTTTTAAAATATAAAACGTGAGATTTAAGAAACACAATCTTTTTGGTATTTTTTGTTTTTTGTCTGCATTTATTCATTCATTCATCACAGCGCACACAAACGTCCTTTAACTATGTTTCTAAGCTCTACTCACCTCTGAGAGGAGTCATGTTGGCTGACGGTAGTTCACTGTAGGTGAAGCCGCTGCACACGCGGATCTGTCTATTTGATGGTGCTTTCCCTTCATTCTCACTGACAGGTCTCTGAATTTTTTTTCCTGATACCACATCACGTGGTAACCACCACATGTGAAGTGAAACCACATGTCACAAAAGTTAACTTCAGTTAATGGCGCAGTGATATCATATGAAATATAGATGGAGTTCAAGCTACGATGGTGTGTGCCAGTTGGTGTTCTTTGTTTCTCTCTCCCTAACTCTCTCTCACACACACTCACACACTTTATTATTATTATAAAGAGATTATAACCTCTTCAAAATCGTCACTCTACCATGTAACACTACACATGATCTATAGAATAAAAAGAAAGCACAGGTTTGGTGGTTTTGATCACGTTGAATTATTTGTTAACACTACTAGCAAACATTGACATTTCTTTGCACAGCCCTTTGCTCCTTGTATCTAACTGAGAAGTCGTAGGTGTTGATGCGTAAAGCACTGTGAAAATTTCAAATGTTAGTTCAGAGGAACTTGAGTGATTCTGTGCCTAAGGGGTGGCTGAAGTTCAAAGCTACACATTGCAGTCAGCAGATACTAATCTGAGAGCTAACACGTATTGACCTGATAATAATCAGCATTTGCTTAGAGCTGAATGAAACAGATGAATTCTCTGAATGTTTTGTGTTCATACTGAAAGATAGTTTTGCTTTCATTGACATTTGCTGCTGTTACTGTGACATTCAGGGCTAATGCTGGACATGAGGTGAAACCCTACAGAGCTGCTTTTTTTTAACTCAAGATCTGCACTAGCTTTCTGCACACCTGTCTCTCTGCGGTATTGTGGTTTGTTGCTTTCACTTGAGGCAGTACTAACCACAGTACAAACGTGGCATGTTACAATGCACCGTATCATCTTTCACGTTGAAACCATCAGATCTGTCAATCGGATGGTGATTAGTTTCCAATCTTATGAGGCTGAAACCTTACAAATCATTGCACAAAGATTTAAATCTCCTGCCAGATCTGTGGCATTACTCGAAGCACCTACTGTGTCAGGATCGGAGATGAACAGGATGATGGGTACTGCTGCTATGAAAAACAGGAAGAGGAAATCAGAACAATTCCTTCACATGTTACCCACTTCCCTTACCTGTACTGTGCAAAGGAGAAAATGCTATATGCAAGTGCAGTGAGCCATGGCGAAGCTCTTATTTCTGCACCATGAATGTTTTACAGTACTGTCATCAAACAGTACACCTTTTAAGTAAGGCATTTAAAAGCAGCATGCAGATGAATTCAAAAATATCTGGTGTGTTTGCTAAACAAAAACATCAAAATACTTAATCAGAAACAAACACACACACCTTCATACAGGTAATTAATGCACAAGAAGTGGCTGCACATGATGAAAGACAAGAATTGACTTTGTTTATATATGGAGAATTCTGCTGTTAAATAATGTTATAAAGATTTTATTGCATGTTTTTTGGTATCTGTGGAGCTGAATCAGTCTGTCACAACAAGCTGCCACTTTCTCTCTACTCAATCTGCTCTACTTGTGATTGACAAATCATTAGCCATTATCTAATGAGCATATCCTTTCTGACTCTAATTACAAATGGAAATGACAGAATTACCTTTTTAATAATACACAAAACTAAAGTTCTTAAACAGAAGTTCCCTTTTTCTATAAATTTCTGTATAACCTGATGTCCTTTTTTTTTGCCACCACAGTCCCAGCAGCCCCTCCCCCTTCTGGTCGTCAGAAAGAATGCAGGTTTAAGCCACTTAAATCAGTCAACCAATCGTTTATACTGGAGAGACTAAGTACAGGAGAAAGGATTACTGTTAACTTTGAAGAGATAGCAGAGTATAAAAGAAAATAAAAAATATGGAGCTGAAAATGAGCAGAGAAGGCTTTAAATTGGGCTGTTTTAGTAGCTCAATACAGCTGAAGCCCAAATATACAGGGTGGGCCATTTATATGGATACACCGTAATAACATGGGAATGGTTGGTGATGTTAAAGTCCTGTTTGTGGCACATTAGTATCTGTGAGGGGGCAAACTCCTCAAGATGGGTGGTGACCATGGTGGCCATTTAGAAGTCGGCCATCTTGGATAAAACTTTTGTTTTTTCAATAGGAAGAGGGCCATGTGACACATCAAACTTATTGGTAATGTCACAAGAAAAACAATGGTGTGCTTGGTTTCAACGTAACTTTGTTCTTTCATGAGTTATTTACAAGTTTCTGACCACTTATAAAATGTGTTCAATGTGCTGCCCGTTGTGTTGGATTGTCAATGCAACCCTCACTGAAGCATAATAACAAATCCCAGCAGCAGCCAGTGATATCCTCAGCCTTCCAGCACAGCGGTCTTTTTTGCGCCACGGACCGGCCTTTAAGGTGTCGCGGATAAATACAACAAAATAAAATGATACGACCGAGACAAAAACTGTGGTATTTTGTAAATATAATAATAAACGTGAATTCACTGTGTAATTGTGTAACTTTATTAGCAGCGTGCTCCTGAAACAACCAACAACATTGAGAGTAACATCCTCCTCTCTGGTCGCTATGGTAACGCGTAAATATTTCTTTCAAAATAAGAACCAACTACAACACGGGTAAAGACCGTGTTAACGATAAAAACCCTGAAAACCATGAATTTCACACCCGAGCCTCAATTCTCATGGCCCGGCACCAAACCACTCACGGACTGGTTGGGGACCGCTGTTCTAGCAAATATACCTACGGTGTTAATTTCAAAATCCTGTGTTGCTTTCCCAAAAAGTTGATTCAACATCAAGACCTTTGCTGCTTTGTTCTCAAGTCATTGCATTAACAAGATTTTCAGAAAACTTGAACTCTGACCTTTAGGCCACGGTCATTGAGATTCAAAATTGTCTGAGATTTTTAGCAGATACCCCCATGGTATCTAAAGTCCTACTATGCTTCGTTCTGGAGTTATCCCTGACAACCTCGGGTGTGGATGCGCCTGCCCGGCAGGGAGACGACAAAGCCTCAACAACCTTTTGTGGCCGAGGGGTAAAAATGAAGCGAGCGGTTTCCTTCAGGGTAGAAAAGTTTTATTGGTATAAATATGCAAAAGGAAATTCATTTTAAGACTGCATGTTTATGAATGTTCTTCAAGCTTTTTATGAAAATCCATGTTTAAGCAAACCTCGTTACACTGTGTACACAATTACGGTACATTTAAAGGCTTTCTGTTGAAAACCACAATAATGATCTTAACACACAAATGTTCTAAGCATACTGCTTTTGATTTGATTGACAGCAAGCAAACTTGAGAACACTGGTAGTTGAGCATTGTACAGCATTGATGATCATGTGATATACTCACGGATGGACTGGGCCGGCCCCAGGACAACCGATACACAAATATAATTTAAAAAAAGCTGATAATAAATAACAAAAATAGCTACTACTAAATGACTACGAACTCCTGAGACAATACTGCCACTGTAATACTGATACAGAGAGTAAACAAATATTCTCCTGCCGAGGAGATGGTCACTTGGCTCCACTCTTTACAGCTCATTTTAAAAAACATGCAAAAACAACAAGAAAAGCAACAATGACACAACAATACAAAGTTCAATATAACACTGAGCAATGTTTGTTTCGTGTGACGTCGAATTGAGACAGTCAGGATTCTGCCATAGAGAGTGCTAAAGATATGTTTCAGTATGTGCTGAAGAGGGCGTGTATGGGTTCTTCCAAATGGCAACGCAGTCTGTGGAGAGAATACATAGTGCTTTCACATGGGCTTCTGTGGCACATTTAGCAGCCATTGATTTTATCATTGCTTTGTCGGCTTCCAGTGCAGGTTTTTTTCTTTTCTTTTCTTTTTTTCAGAGTGTGTCTGCGAGCCTTAGTGTTCGAACTCGGCCTCAGGCTTGTTAAACATCGAGCCCATCTGAATGCTCTTCATATGCTTTGACAACTGAGATGACACTGTGCAATATCTGTAATCGTCAGAGTGCAGCAGCCCGGCCAACAGCCTGACAGTTCACACGCAGCCCGCTGCCGGACTCAGTGGGCTGCTCGCGCCCTGCTGGGCCCCTCTGATGGCTCGCTAGTCGTGGCGTCTTCCGTTTGAGCGGAGGTGGTTTCTGAACCCGTGTTGCTGTCGCTGGTTCCCTCCTCCATGGCTCCCTCTGGGACGCTCTCTTTGTCCTCTGACGCCCCCTCTTCGCTGCCGGGGTGGGCCTCAGGTTCCTCTGAGGTCTTTGGCTTCCCTGAATCAAAGAAATGTATTTGTTATTATTAATTCGATCTTCCAACCAGCATTTCTGGGGCAGGGATGGCATTTCCAATCACAGTTCACATATTTTCATATTGAAGGGAGGCTCATGAATGAAGGTAGCAGTTTTCAGTGGTGCAGCGGGAAGGGCGAAGCTGTTGGTGCAGAACTTGATCAAGGAACTGTTACACTGTTGTTTGCTACTAAAATAGACCAAGACAGTGAACCCAGGCGGAACCAAAGGAAACTCTGAGAGATCTGACGTCAGCAGTGCTTGTTAAAAACTCGTGAAGGTAAAAAAGTCAATGTGAAACACCTGTTTGACAACCTTAAAGCAGATTTTTGTTTGCTTGACACAGAGACGGTGCAGCTGAATGAGCAAAGGGCACAGCTGTCTGAACACACACAAAATGCATGCTTGCCTTGCTTTAAGCCTCTGACATCACTTGTAAACTTTGCAGCATGATGACGGACGCTGTCCCTCTCTCACAGCATTTACATCACCGCTTTTATTTTCAGGCTTCAGTTACTAGAGGTAAGCCATGAAAGCAGACAGACCCATGCTTTTACTAGCATGTACACTTTGTGACAATATATAAAGGATACATGTAAATATATCATACTGACGATAGACTCGAGCTACACCATCGTGGACTGCAGGAGGTGATGGTGGTCCCTGCAGCTCAGTGTTGGTTGGACTGACCTACCAACTTGAACAACGACTAGCTGCAGTTCAAAACAGAGCCACATGAGTTTAGGGATAGATGGCTGCATATCTCATTGCCCTGGACAGGACTGAGCTTTCAAAATAAGATTGAGAAGTCTGAAAAAGTCTAAATATATGAAACACAGAATATAAACGTGTTATTAAACCGGGCTATTAAACCACAGATTAAGCTGCTCAGAGTGTTGCGTTGGACACAAGCCATGACTAGTGTCCAGCGTTGCTCACCTGGTGCGTCTGTAGTGCTGGATTCGGTCTCCTCGCCTTCCTTGTTGCTGCCTTCGCTCAGAGAGTTTTGCTGGGGCTTGTTGCCATGTGTTGCACAAATGTGTTTGTCTTCCTCTGCCAGCACACAGGTCGGGGCCTCTCTTGCACCTCGATCTCCTGCATCCTTCTCACGTTCTGCCATCCGTTTGCGGGCTGCTTCTTCTGCTGCAGCAATCTCTGCAGAAATCTTCTCCATGTCCACCTCCACCTTCATGCAGCACAACTGAAAACAACAAACAGCAAATGTGGAATAAATAAGTTATTTTTGAAACCTCTGACTGTTTTCTCAGAACTGTAAAGACAAACCTAATTTTCTTTTTGGAAACCACAAACGCATCAAAACAGTTTTATCTCTTCTATAAACCACACAACGCTGCCAGAACTCTCTCTCACACACACAGGCAAAACAACAGTACTTGACATTCATTACACACTCTCTACAACGCTCTTCGGGGTATTTAAATCAGGACTTTCCAACCTCATGTGGCTGTCCTCCACCCACCACTCTTTTCAGTGTGATGTACTTATGATGTGTGGCAGAGAAGCAGCAGAGAAACAGAACAGTGCATGCAGTAAATCGTAGTTTTAAACATGTTTCACATGTTTCTGTAGTATGACTCAAGTAAATGAGGAATGTAAAAGTGGCTGCTTTCATGAATAAATCATAGCACAAGTCATACAAGGCTCACATTAAACACTACTTCTTTCATGCCATGCACAAAAACACACTCTATGACCTTTATTCAAACTGCATCTGAAATTACTGATTTGTGTCTTTCTCCTCTTCCCACCCCCTACCCCTCAGACGGTTTCCATCCATTGCTTCCTGCGCACCCTGAACGTGCTTCATCAACATGATTAGCGACGCCCGAATTTTGCGCTACGATGCATAAAATATAACACCTGTACCATTGTGTTAAACGTCCGGCTCATGTGGTTAGCTTTGTGCATCACTTTGCAAAATCTCTTTAAGTCAATTGTATTTGTTTCTTCAAAAACATCATATAAGATGTACAAGTTGCTTCAAATTCAAGTGAAAAGACTGGTTGATTCAGTAAATAGTGCAGGAAGGTTAAATATGACTCAGAATGGGAGTTGAAAGGTTAGTTAACTAAACCTGAAAGCTTTTGAGCAAAATGAAATAAAGATAATCACTACACTTTGACAAAAACTGAAACACTGTATTTAAAAACTAAAAAAAACAATCTTGAGGCACTTTCCTTGGTTTCAGTCTTTTAGGACGTCAGCCGCCGACACAAAATGTGTTTTGTTTATTTTGAACTTCTTCAATCATAACTTGTGGAATTTAAAAAAAAAAAGGTTTTATTTCTGTTTCGTTCTCACTGGAAAATATAAGCCTGTGATGGTTGTGGTTTTAACAAGTCTGTGCAGGATAAATAAAATTACAGCTTGTTAGAAAGTACACGGATCAGGTCACAGAGCCTTTGGTGCAGATGTTTTGACACTCAGGATGTTGACTGTATTCACAAAGTGTTGTGTTTGTACTGTAATCTGTATCCTGAATTCCTGTTATCATACCTCCTTTATATTCTAATACTTGTAAAGCTTAAACTGGTGAAAACTAAACACACTCGCTCTAAACACACTAAGAAAGAACAAGACAGAAACAAAAAGTTACTGGAAAACATGACCAGTATAACTCTGGTGTTAACATGTTTGTGCAGGCTGAATGTGATGTCACAGCTGTCTAGGGAGCACCTACAGCAGGTCTGTCAACTTAAAGACTTGTTCTGTCTTTAACAAGCTCTGTAAAATATAAATGGCGCCACCTTTTGTCCACACCGGGAACTGCAGCCCATTGCACAAAATAACAGTTATAATGGAGGCTACAAATTGTGAATGATGACAGCTATATGATTGCCAGAACATGTGGATGGAGTTAGCTGCAGCTTGGGCCTGCGTGGCAGATGGAGAAAGGCCCATAACCAGAGCTGCACACGTCACGCAAAGTGAAGCTTGCGTGCAAGTAGGCAATGACAGAGTTCAATGTAAAAGACGCCGTACCCTTTTGAGCTCGTTTGTGAACGACTCTGTGGCGTCGATGAATTTTCTCTTCTTGTCCTGATGGCGGTCTTCAATCTGAAGCAACTCTGCCTCCAGTTTTCTCTGGGAAACGAGACACGCAGGCACCACAGTTAGGAATTAACGAGCTGATAAAAACAGAGCCGTCAGTGAGCGTTTAAACATCCCAGTTTGATCCTACCTGATGAACCATCAGGGACTGGACCTGCCGTTTGAGGACCTGCATGCGAGCGGTCGTGACGACGGATCGCACGTCTGGGACGACGCTCTCGCTGAGGATCTCGCTGATCAGACGGTGGTTTCGTTGGAAACGAGCCGCGGCCAAGTGCTTTATAGAAAACCCGTCGTCGTAATCTGAAGACAAGAAACTCATCTGAGTTGTTGCCGTACACGTTTATGGGCCTTTCAGAAAGCAAAGCAAAAGAGGCTTCAGCAAAAAACCAGCGTAAACAATACAAACAGAATCACGCAAACATGTATGAAGACGGCGTAAACATACGGAGGATATGGCTCAATATTTATACAGAGTTCGAGCTAAGTATATGCCATTATGTCCAAACACATCCCTAAGCAAAGTAGGTGAATGGCACAGGCAGCCAATTATAACCCACAGTATGTGGACAGATGTTTTAAGCCGTACTCTGCAATTTACATTCATCAGTAAATGTTTCTCTGTGTTGTCTTGTAAGTACAGGACGACTGTGCATTAAGGTAAAAACCTACAAACACAGCCTGAAGAAAATATTCATGCTAAATTACCCTGTTACCACTGATTTGGGAATGTATTCCCAATAAATGCACAGAAATCCTGAAAGCATCTTTGACACCGATTACAGCTTTGACTTGAACCGTCGTTTGAATTTGCTCAATTTCAAGTTTTATTGTCATGTACAGATAAGCAGTGTAGCAACATTTACCCATAATGAAAATCTTTGGCTCGTGCTCCTCAGCTTTACATGAACATATAGAAAGTGTGCAGTTATATTAAGAAGAAAATAACAGAAAAATAGCAATAATAATAATAATAATGAAGAAAAATGCATTAAATATTTAGAGAATTTAAGACAAGCTGGTATATACAGTTTGTGCAAAACTGTGCAATGAGCATTTAAGTGGCATTTGTTGAAGTGACAGTGTGTAGAGTCCTGTAATTGTAGTGAGTGTGTAATAGTGTGTATAAGATGTTTAAGTGCAGGTTAAGATGTCAAAGTGCAGCAGTGCATGTGCACGGCTTTGTTAAAGCCACCTAAGAGATTTTCATTAGAAATTAAAACCTATCCCAAGACTGCGCTGTATGCAAAACATTTCCTCTATATGAGCACGGCGAGTGATTTATGGGCCCAGATGAGTGGAAATTAACCATAAATGTCACAAAGCTTTCACAAGCTCACGCTGACTGATAAAGTAAATTATGTATTCAGTGCTCAGCAATTAACAAACTGTGGTTGTGTGGGGAAATTTATATTAGACCACAAACTGTTGAGTTGTACATAGACCTCCAGGTGGAAAACGCTTTGAAAAGTTTTCTGACATTTAAAATGTGTTTTTTAATCAGATTTGACTGTTTCCCACTAAGCACACAATTAAATTAATTTTTGAATAATGTGTTAAAATTAATGTCTGTTGACTGGCAAGACTTGTTCCTAGAAAGGTTTTGAGATGACGTGCATGACCAGTCAAGGTTTGCTAGTCAGCACCACAAATATTAAGTAGTTAAACTAATTATTAAGTAAGTTAAATAGTTAACACTAATGGATTAATAATGCAGTCAGGGTGTAACCTGCCTTTTAGCCTGTCAGCTGTGACAGTCTCATCCCCTGTGATGGTAGGTTCGATCAGCAGCCAAGAAAAGAACATGAATTGATGGGTAGTTAACAATCAACTGTAATATGTCACACAGCTTGGCACAGAGTGACATATACATTTAGCAGGACTTGAAATTTGGTCGAGTGAAACAGTGTTTTTACAGGACTCTATGGAATCCACCGTCTCCTTCCACAGAAAGTAAGAGCATAAAGTGGTAGCCAGGTTCTGCTAATCATGCACCCGATGAACTGATCGTAATCGACTGTAACCACCACTGGAAGTTTGCTGGTCTGGAGCATTCAGGTGTGTTCAGGATCTTCCCAGGGGTCGACTTCCCAGCAACTTCACCCCAAGTTCAGACTAGAGTTAGCCAATTAATCGAAAACTAATCAAAACCGACATTCAGAAACTCTAATCGACATAATCTCACATCTGTTATTTTGCTTTGTTTTTTAACTCGTTAATGTTTAATACTCCCCTGTTTAAAACATAGTGTGTTGTCACATGACTGCCACATCAAGTCTACAACAGAGAAAATAAAATGCATGAAAAATAGTTTCAGCAGCCAACGTTAAGACCACCAATCTGCTACCACAGCTCCAACACCATCGGATTAGCAAAAATAAATAATTAATCCAACATTAGTAGCATATTTATGGTACAAACTTTGTGAACTATGAGCGGAGGAGAAAATTTAAAGTGTGTAGTAGTAATAATAAAAGTAACAATCATCAGCGTACGTACATGTACATCCATCTACGTCGACATCTGCAAACCTCACTTGTCTTCACTTATTTATTTTTGTACTTATTTATCTTCCATTATTTTTTTTATCCTCATTTGTCTTTATGACAGCAAGAAGGAAGAATTTCACTGCACAGAGAAATGCTATGTCTTCTGTACATATGACAATAAATGCTTTGAATCTTGAATCTTTGAATCTAATCATAATAATCGTAGTGCAATTAGAAGAGGACGGAACAAGTATGGCTTGTTTGGTAGAGTTCTCTTAAGTTTCTAAAGTTGCATCTGAACAAACCACGAGACCAAAGTGGAGACGTTTGATCAGATTGCACAGCACCACCACAACTCCTCATACTGTCAGCACGATGGTAGGGGGCTGATGATTTGGGCTTGTTTTTTTACAGCCACAGGACCAGACCGCAAAAAATTCTTGAGTCAAACTAAAGCTTGGCCCGATTTCAGCCACTAAACAGGAAGTAAATCCCTAGTCCAGCAGCAAATCTGCGACAGAATGACTGAAATAGAATGAAGATGCATGGTGGTGGTCCCAGTCTAAGTCCAGACCTCAACCTGATCATGATCCTGTGCATTAACCAGCGCCCACAAACTTGAATGAACTGAAGCAAAGCTGTAAAGAAACTCTGCCAGAATTGCTCTACAACGATGTGAGACAATGATAAAGTCACAGTTTTCACGTGATGTATGATTATACATTGGAAGTTATTGAAGGCTCTTAATATAAGCATCTTAAATCCCTCCCCCTGCCGTCGGACAGACTCCAGCTTCAACAGCTTAAACTGCAGCTTGAAGCAGTCGTTCTTGTTCTGCTCTGGAAATCCGCTGCGAGAACGATGGCCCCACAAACCAGGCCTTGCAGCAGGTGGAGACCTGGTGCTGTTGAGTTCACCGAGGCTTCAGAGAAGAGCAGGGACTATTGCAGGGATGTTTGAGGAACCTACTGCTTGTGGTAATTTCTTATTTAAAGGGACTAAACTTTATTACAGAAACAAATACAGTGCAATTCTGCTGGAAACAGTGTATTTTTATACTCCATATACATGTTTAAAAAGACATCCATTTACTCTTACCCGTTAACAACAATCCACCTGTGTTTTCGCCATTTTTCCATTTAGCAGACTTGCTTTGACTTTGTTGTGGCAAGCTTCGCCCTTGCTCACTGGGTATCACCTGAGGTTGCTGGTGCTGTGCACCTCTGTGTGCACCTTTTGAAACTTTCCAGAGAGCAGAAATGAATGTCGTTTGCCACATAGGTGCTCAAGACACAAAAACAGGAAACCATTACCACTCCGAATGCCGTGTGAGAGCATTAAGCTTCTCTATGATCACAAATGACGTCTCACTAATGTGTGGGATATTTCTCAAAAGGTAAGGTCTCCACGTCGAACACTGTTTCAGGTTATTTTCTAGTAGAGTCAAACCACAGCACCTCAAAAATACCCATTTTAATGTTCATAAACAATGCAACAAACTGATGTTTAGAGTAGAAGTGCACGAAGACTTTAATAAAGAGTGATCTCTGTTCTCTCCACCCGGAGAGCTAAATCTTATTTAATCGTCGCTGTACGTGCAGTTTGTTAAGAACAAAGCCCACTGGGATACCAGCTTTGACATTTTTATGGTCTGGGGTGTTTCTAAATAGCAACGGTTTTATCTGTAGTTTTCCTGTGCATCATTATCGTCTACTGTAACTCAGCCAGACCCCAGACAAGCATCATTTCCTTGAGGTGGGTGTAACTCAAACGTTTTCTTCTGGCTTCTGTCTAACATGGTGTGTGTGTGTGTGTGTGTGTGTGTGTGTGTGTGTGTGTGTGTGTGTGTGTGTGTGTGTGTGCGTGCATCAGTCAGGCTTTATAACAACAGAGCAAAGAATGTAAATTTTGCAATTATGTCTTAACCATTGCCAAAAATATCTACAAAATGTAAACACGTGTGCAAAACAAAGGCAAATTTTGGTCCCAGGCTGGAAGCTTGAAAGCAGAAATGGCGTTTCAAAGGTACCATTACCAAAGATGTTAATGGTTGTAGCGCTATAGGAGGAGGGGGGGGGATAACACATTCTCTGGGTGTGCGCGCTCGCAACGCTGTGTGGTCGTGCTACAATAATTACAACTCTGTGGCAGTGCTCTAAAGAGCCCAGGGGGCCTTACCATCTGGATCCTCTGCTGGCTGAATACTCATGTAAGGCTCATCCTTGTCCAGCCTGGACTGCCTCTGGCGACTCTCCTCTTCCAGAGCTGCCTCGGCCCGGCTTTTTGCATTTACATAGGCCAGGTAGGCTGGCGAGTTGTGATAGGCCTTCATGCTCTCATTATACTCAATCTACAGTGGAAAAGATGAAGGAATGACAAGGAAACAGAAAAGGCAAGCAGACACAACAATGTGGACCCTTGTATCTAGGACAAGATGAGGAAAGAGGTTTATTCAGGAAGGAATGATGACTGGAGGGACCCACAGCTAGCGGGGACACATCTACTGTCACCCATCAGGAAAAACCCCATAAACACCCCTTGTAAAACAACCAACCTTCTCTGCTTCGTAGTCATTCAAATAATCCTGTTTCTCCTCATCAGTGAGGTCCCTCCACATGCCACCGATTATCTTCCCAATTTCCCATAGCTTCAGATCAGGATTGGAGGCTTTTACTTGATCCCAAACCTGGTGATGAGAACCAGACATGGGTGTGGGGTTGGGTTGGGTTGGAGGGGCTATAGGTGGTTATCTCTTTGCAGAGAGGTCACAAACCAGAGGAGGCCGTGTGCTTTAAGCTGCATTTCCAAGCTCAGAAATCCCACTATGTGATGTAGACAGTTCTAAGTAATTCCTGGCTTAATCTGGCTTCACACCTACCTCGATAAACAACTACCAAGACAAAATGTACATCTTACTATGCAAACTATGTTCAAATCAAAGCATCCCTCTCTTCCAGCTGAGCACATGATGATGCAAAAGGGAGCAGTTAAACACTGTACCTACCTTGCGACTGTATCTCATATATGGCATCAGTGGCTTATCGGGAGGCTTGGGTGGCTTTGGGATATTTATTCCAGAGGAATTCTGGTAAAGAAAGGAAAAAGAGTCACCTTGAGATACGCCTGCTGTGCAGTGACGAGGCATCCACAGAAACACTATAGCTAAGCTGAAGCTTGTGACGCTACAAGCAGGTGATTATGTTCAGGTTTAAACACAAGATCCATTAAAGGAGCTTCTTATCATTTAACTCGATTGCATTGATGACAGTTTGGAGGTATAAACAAGAAGAAGAAAGCCCACAGAGTGCACTGCAACAACGCAGACTGTGGGGGGAAAAAATCAAATAGAAAAATCTCACTTAAGCTGAGATTTGCTCAGTGCGAGACATAATGCCATTATCAGAGGCAGCCAACCACAGCTTGCATGCAGCGACTAAATTACTGCTCAGCAGCCAGAGCCATGCCGAGCAGCAAAGTCTTTAATGCCATGGCAACATGATGGCATGGGTTACTTAACATGGCTGTCAGAAATGCAGACTTTGAAAGGCAGGTGGGATTTGAATAGACACAGATGGACTCTTAGCAGGTCTGCAGTATGAAGGAGGCAGCAGAGGGAGTTTGGGATGGTATGCATCATTTCTGATTCGGTCTCAGTACCGGAATGAGTTTCTACTGTAGGAAAGCAAAATTATGTCTAACCTGATTTACTCCAAACAAAGAAAAGTCAGTCTTATAGCTTGCAAAGGCCTCATCTGCAGCGTCTTCATTTCACTAGAGCAAGCTTTTCTGGTTTGCCTTATACTTTCAGTCACTGCCTTTATTTATTTGTTTTGTTCTTCTATGTTAATATTCATACCGTTACCCGACTGTTGCTGCTTTGGCTCCCTCCCAGTCTGTAGTTGTTGTAGGCCAGATGGCTGTATGGGTTGTACCCCACAAACCCGGTGGTGTTGGGCATTTGCTGATGGAAACAAATGAGACAGAAACACGAATGAGAAATGACCTAAAAGAAGAAGAGGGGAAAGCCCAAGACAACGAAAAAATAATAAAGAAACCAATGAAAGAAGCTGGGAAAATGCAAAAATAAAGAAACTTGAATTCATGCTGGTGCTATAGGAAAATACAGCAGTGGTGTGTCAGCACATCATTCTGTGACTAAACAAAATCAAGCACAAACTGTACTAAAGGTCCTTGGTGTAATTTGCTGGAGGAGATTTCTTCCCCTCTGGTCTCCATAATTTTGCCTCTCCTGAATTATTTTTATTCCTAGTAGGAATAAAGTTTATCCCCTTCCCAAAGTGATTAATGCTACTTTAACAACAGATACATCTCAAATAATATTGTTTGAGATGTATCTGTAGTGCAAACGACAGTAAAATCAGAAACAGACTTTCACTGTTGAGCCTGGTGCCGTTCCATATCTGCCTTGATCTATGTGTGGCTTTTTAGTCTAACAACAAGCACTAACAGGCTGAAAATTACGGCTAGTAAAATATAAAAAATTAAGGATTCAGAGCAGAAGACTCTGATAGGTCCTCTCAAAAGAAATCTTTTACTCCTGAAGCATAATTTAGAGTCATGTTGGGCAACTGGGCAAAATTCATTTAGAGTTAAATCTGTTTAAAAAAACAAACAAACATTTTTTAAAGTTAAGTAACTGTGTTAAGACTGTTTTTGCCAGTAAGCCTATTATTATTATTATATGAGATTATTTTTTTGTATAAAACAGGCCAAACGCTGCAAATGTTAAATTGCATTTATCTGGTAGAACTGTTGCTAAAAGTATCACATGAGGACATCTTGGGGAAAAAAATGTCATCATGAAATCTATATGAGCCTAGCACTAATATTCTGGTTTTATTTGTGTGACTGAAAAGACCCAATCAGGACCCTGCTTAAGTGTCTCCTCATCAAAACTTAAAACCTATTCAATGAGGTATTAAAACTAAAACTGATGTCTGGGGCTGATGCTGTGTTCCTCTATGTTGCTTTCTTATTCAATGCAATTATATTTTGGATGCAATCATTTTATTGCATATGCGTGAGCTGGATCCTAACTAAATGTGGAGCAAAGAGTAAGTTTGATATTTCTGACTACCTCTCAGCATTAGATCCACCTTTCCCTGTTCTCCCACACAAAGTACACAGAAACTACACAGGTTACGGCAATCACGTGAAAGCCAAATACATGTTTTATTTGAATGCAACATGTATGAACGAAGCTAAAATGAGATTTTATGATTGTTCATGATGGTGTTTGTACACTCATGTAGCTCTATTTGCACTTTGGCTCCTTGGATTTCAGTAGAGATGCAGCCATCTCTTTCTGATTCACACACGTTTTGTGTAGGACGCTGTGTGAATATCAGTGAATCCGTCATTATGATCCAATACAATCAATATCATGTATACGATTCTACTTAATGAGTACTTTTACTTTAAGATGTACTCTGATACTAAATCTTTTTTATTAATTAATTATTAGTTTTAGTTATTCTTCATTCACTCTTCAGTGCCACTTTTCGTGCATTGCTTTCTTTTGACCAAGTCTAAAAAAAATAAAATATGCTCTATATTTGTCACTGCACCTGAGCGACTACAAGGCCCTGACAAAACATGCAAATCTGCTATAAATCCCACATACCACTTGAAAGTCTTTCCCAGTATTTTTTAAACTGCATTTATTTCTGATCAATGATTGTGATTTCCTCCAGTACCTGAAAACAAAATAAAAATCTCCATTTTGTGTGACATAAAAAAAACCCAGGGGGTGGCTGGAGTTGGGGCTGAAACAGAATGAAAGGTTTTAAATAAAAACCCATGGGTGTGGATGTATATTCGAGAATACTTACAGTTGTAGGGGCAGGGGGAGGTGGAGGGGCATAGGATGGTCTCTCTGTTTCGGGAAAGAAATTAATAAAAATAAAAAAAAGCGAATCAGTCCTGTCCAATCTAACTTCCACAACTCTCACTTCGCATGGATAAACTGAAACACCAGGTCTGATGCATTTAGATACCATCACCTACAAAGAGCCTGACTATAATTAACTGTTTCAAACACTCCCAGTGTCTTACTTGACATTTCTGCAGTGAGGAGGATGAATCAGTCTGTTCCAGTCATTGGATCTGCAATAAACACATTTATGAGGAGGGTAACATTATATACCCCAGTGATTAAATGGGAGATTCAAACATAGCGTAAAACAAAGAGATGCTGATGGTGATTCAGGCAACAAGGCAGGCTAACGTCCACTAGCATCAACGTTAGCTCAAAGCTAACTTAATAAGCGGAATATCTATGGGGCAAATTCACTGTGTCACAATGTAAATAGCATCAATGACCGCTCTATGTGATTATGAAAGTGTGAATATGATGATGGTGGGTGAAGAGCGTAGTTCGCAGACGTTAGACTCGTCAATGCTCATCCTATAAACGACCTATAACGTAACTAGCAAGTCGCTAACTAGCTAAATCTTTTGCTGTTAGGTTAGCCTGTCTGCGCCAAAAGTCAACCTCAAGTTTAATTTACGGTTGTGAGCTGACTTTAAATGTGGCTGACAAATTCCTAACGTTGTGATAGCTGACATTTCTTGTAGTTCGCTTGGCCCATAAGTTCGTTTGCTCTAAATAACCAGCCGGTTGACGTCTAACTAGCTGAATAGCTGGTAGCTAAAGGAATGAGAATGACACCTATGATTATTATTAGCATGCAGCGTTAGGCAAAGCCGACATGTCTACAGTTATTTGAAATTCCCACGTAATCTGCAAGCATGAATACTAAAGGGCAAAAAACTCACCCCAAACCCTTTAGTCCCCACCACTGTGTGCAGGTTGTGGCTTTGGCAGGGAAGGCTAACCACCTAGCTTAGTAATACAGTTCCCACAATAAACCAGTGAAATGGGGTCCACTCGTATGATTCCTGCAGAATCTTCTAGAACTGCACCCCCACCCTCTCCTTATTACAGCTGTGCCTCGGCTCGATGCTGATGCTCATCGCTCTCTGCTGTCACCGCTGCAGCAGTGACAGCAGAGACGTTTCTCCTCCAGCATTCAGAAGGAAAAAAGACCATATGGCAACAACAGAGCTGCTGAGTGGGATTTCACATTTTCCCTGCGTGGCTTTAGATTTAAGCTGCAGATGTGCAACGTCGTAGCATGATGCAGTTTGCTCCCGGATTGTGAAAAGCTGACCTGCATTGTCACCCCTGACTGCAAAACGCATCATGTCAAAAATCAGCCAGGTCAGTGCAGATGCTCTGCAGCCATCACCTGTGGAAAGCATATATTATTTCCATTTTAAGGCAGTAAGCTCGTTTTTCTTGCAATATAGGGGAAAATCAGGAATGATTTCTTATGTCACCATACCATAAGCTGCATTATGGATGCTTCACAGGCTTGTGAGCTTTTGATAAACTCAAGGTTGCCCCATTCACTGCTCCCATGTTGTTAGAACTGAAATACTTTGCATTCTTGTTCACATTGTCTGAGAGCCGCCCAGGTCAATAGTTCTAATAGTGAGTTCCCTAAAAAAAACAAAGAAAAGCCCGTGGGATTTGGCCCATTCATCCTGAATAGTTCTTGTTTTGAATTTGTTAATTGATTGTGGTCATTGTGACCCTCTTTCTTTCTGTTTACTCTGTACACTTGAGAGGTTATTTTACTTCTGCATGACCTGCCTCCTGCACAATATGCATTCAGAGCTCATCTGGTGCTTCACCTTCCTTTGACTCTCCAGGTCACAAAAGGCCAGAAAGCTGAACAGATGAGACAGAGAACAGATTCCAAATGAGGCATGGCAAGGACCTTGTTTAACCTTGCACACCTGCAACAGAGTGCATCTGGAGGTAGGGTGGAGGTCACATGCTTCCTGCAAGTTCAGTTACAATGCAGGCTTTACATGGACATTTGTGCAGGGCCTCCCAGGTATAGCTGTGGGATTGTGGATGCCCAGAGGCAGAATATCCCATGTGACACTTTAAATGAGTCCATGAAGCTCCTCTGGTAATGCACAATCAGTCCTTAGGCATATAAACCAAAATAGACTCAGGCAGTGGAACTAAGCAGACGTGAAAGTTTACTCTGGTGTTAGATGGCAGAGATATTTTTAGAAGCTGCTAAACACACATTATCATGATGTAACCTTCCAGAGGTTCCTTGCATAACTGCATCGAGTTTTATGATTAATGCGTCAATTTAAAAAGCTTTCACTGTAGGCTGAGGGAAATATATAGTACCAGATTAAGATGTGAGAACATAAATTCTCCTTGTACATATTTTCTGTCGTAACTTCTAAATATTTCCTTTTCTACATTTGGTCTCCAGGCAACAACTTGATATACTTTTTTTTTTCTCAAAAATGTATTTTTGTTCACCAGATCACTAAAGCTCATTATGTAGTCACGTTTTATTCAGAGGCTTATACCCTGCTTAGTTTGGTCACAATAGCCCAGAGTAACACTCAGTTAAGTACACTGTTTCAGCTGCTCATTAAAGTGATATAAATAACTAATCGTGATAAATATCTAATCAGGCATGTACATAGCAACAACTCGGTGCATTTAGGCATGTGGACAAGGTTAAGGCTACCAGCTGAATCTAAAACCGAGCAGGAGAATGGGGAAGAAATGTAATTAAACGGCTTTGAAACTGCCATGGTTGTTTGTGCCAGGCTGCTCTGATTACTTCAGAAATTGCTGATCTGCTGGGATTTCCCCACACAACCATCTCTAGGGTTCGCAGAGAATTGTCCAAAAAAGAGAAAATATCCAGTCAGCAGCAGTTCTCTGGTTGAAAATCCCTCATTGATACCAGAGGTCAGAGGAGAAAAGCCAGACAGCTTCGCCCTGATAACAAGGCAACAGTAACTCAAGGTATGCAAACCAAGATATGCAGAACCTATCCAAAGATACATTTAGGCTGCGTTCACACTGCAGGTCTTAAAGCTCAATTCTGATTTTTTGATCACATCCGATTTTTTTGTCTGCTTGTTCACACTACAAATAAAACGTGACAGCAAACGCACACAACGCGCTCTGTTTAGACCCAGAGCAAACAGTATTGTTTGACTAATGGCCTTAAAAGACTTGTTTCAGACTTTACGTTTCTCAATTTTGCTTTAAGTTAAAAAGTTATTTTGTTATTAACAAATGTCCTAATAATGATCCTTATTGCTGTTTTAGAGAAGCGGTGCTTCAAAGGATAGCTGCAGATTTCTGTCAGAATCTGCAGATTATACAGTACAAATAAAATGTTCACGTTTCTCCAACGTTGTCTTCCCAACAGTTTCACTGACATCTACACTGGATGGCCAGGAAGCGTTCACGATGTCTTCTCGGGCGCTGATAATTGGCGTCTGTCTTGTGTCAGTGACGTAAAAGACGGATTTAATGCAGCATGACCTTTCAAACAGCAGTCGTTTTCTAAAACATCAGATATGTATCGGGCTCAGTACCACATAGGATTTGAAATATCGGATTTGTGCCGTTCACACTGTCATACCATGATGGGATATGGGTCGCATACGGTCAAAAAAGTCGGATTTGATGCACTTTCGCCTGCAGTGTGAACGTAGCCTTAGTCTCGAAGCAGATGGGCTACAGCAGCAGAACACCACACCAGGTGCCACTGCTGTCAGCTAAGAACAGGAAACCTAGGCTACAGTTCACACAGGCTCGCCAAAATTGGAGAAGATTGGAGAAGCGTTACCTGGTTTGATGAGTCTCAATTTCTGCTGTGACATTTGGATGGTCAGAATTTGGTGTAACTGGCATGAGCGGGGGAGTGGATGCATCTTTCCTTGCATCAGCGGTTCACGCTAGTGGTGGTGCTGGGGGATATTTGGGCTGTTTAGTACTAACTCAGCATTGTTTAACCTGCAGAGCCTGCCTGAGTATCGTTGCTGACCGTGTCCATCCTTTTATGACCACAGTGTCTCCGTCTTCTGCAGGCTGCTTCACCATGTGTGAGTGGAGGTGCAATTGTGCTTTTATCTTTTATGGTACAGCAAAGCGATCCTGAGCATCATCGCTGCTGCTCTCTGTTTGAGTCCACCTGAGCTGAAACGTTTTATTAGCAGATGTGTTGCTCGCTACATTCTTTTTACTGCATATATAAGTGAAAGATTTGTTCTGAGTCCTGCACCAATGCAGCCCTCCTGCTGTTTTCATTGACTCTAAGCACAGTGTCTTTATTTTCCTTGCCTCATACACTCTCTTTAACCCTTCTATGTCATCCTTACATCTGTACTTAACAGCTTTGAAATATAACATTTTATCGGGTTAAATATCCCACCTATGATGACCTCACAGTGTTAAAGTAAAAATACTGACTGTGGTGAAAAACTGCTTGCCAAGAATAGTTTGCTTCAGTTCATTGCATTCGTCAACTCATTATCCATCCAGCTGCCCAGTATACTTTTTACTGGCCCCGGGACAGAAGTTCACTGGGTTTGTTGAGTCTGAGTATGTCGAACAACTTTATGATGATCTGGTGCTCAAAGGTGGGCAATGCTGTCCTTCACTTATCTGACACATCTGACAAATCCCATGTAAGCACAGTGAAATAGTCACACATGGTTGCCAGAGACAGACAAACACTGGAATCTATATTTATTTATTTATTTAAACATGAGTTAATTATATTCACTAGAAAAATGGATCTCATATTTAGTTATTCAATCACAGAAATATTTCACATACGATTCACTGCAAGAGCATGTTTAACAGAAGAGTCAGTAAAGATCTGAGATTGGATACAAACAACTTAGATATTTAAAAGAAAAAAACGCTTCAAGACTAAGAACTATAATTAACTGTTGTAAACTGGGACACTGGTAAGAAATGATAAGACCAAGTCTTTATTGATAAATAATAATAACACTAAATAGAGCATATTTCAGATTTGATGCACCATTCTCCAAAATATATCTCTGACATTTTTATACTACAGTGTTTTGCTACCTTTGTACACATCCAACTGTGCCTTCAGTTTAACTCTGACCTGTCAAGGCATGGACAGACCCCAGGAATTTGGCAGTCGGTACTTCGGGCCCTGAAGGTCGAAGTGTGAGGCCTCTGTGCGTCAGACACATCCCACAAATGCTCAAGTGAACTTTTTGCATTTGTACTCAGGAAGCGAGGACTCCAAGAAATCACGTTTCCCAGTGGGATAAAAACCAAAAACACTACTTTATGACAACAATCAGAATCAGAATCAGAATCAGAATACTTTATTGATCCCTGGGGGAAATTATTTTTTGTTACACTGCTCCATTTTAAACCAACATTAAGACAAGACAGACAATACGCTAACTAAGAATAGTACAATATATACATATATATACATACATACATACATACATAAGTCACTTATAAATAAATATTTGGAAAAGAAACATGTGTAGTTGTAGCAGCAAACAGTGTGTTAAGTGGATGCGTTGTACAGGGAGATGGCCACAGGCAGGAATGATTTCCTGTGTCGTTCAGTGGTGCTTTTCGGTAATCTCAGTCTCTCACTGAACGTGCTCCTGTGACTGACCAACATGTCATGGAGTGGGTGGGAGGTGTTATCCAACATTGTCTTTATCTTGGACAGCATCCGCCTCTCCGACACCACCTTGAGGGAGTCCAGCTCCATCCCCACAACATTGCTGGCCTTACGGATCAGTTTATTAAGTCTGTTGGCATCTGCGACCCTCAGCCTGCTCCCCCAGCATGCAACAGCATAGAGGATCGCACTGGCCACCACAGACTCATAGAAAATCCTCAGCATTTTCTGGCAGATGTTGAAGGACCTCAGTCGCCTCAAAAAATAGAGACGACTCTGGCCCTTCCTGTAAAGTGCTGTGGTGTTTTTAGCCCAGTCCAGTTTATTGTCAATGTGTACTCCAAGGTATTTATAGTCCTCCACAATGTCAACACTGACCCCCTGGATTGAAACAGGGGTCAAGTGTTTCCTGGTCTTCCTGAAGTCCACGATCAGTTCCTTGGTCTTTGCCACGTTGAGCTGCAGATGATTCTGCTCACACCACGTGACAAAGGAGTCGACCACAGCCCGGTACTCTGTCTCATCATCCCTGCTGATGCATCCAACCACCGCAGAGTCA